AAATACTCACGATAACAGTATGTGACATCAGTTAAAATCTAATTGTATTTGTCACATGCGCCGAATACAACAGGTGTAGGCTTTACCGTGAAATTCTTACTTATGAGCCCTTTCCCAACAATGCAGAGTTAAAAAGTACGAAAAGTTAGCTAAATAAAATAATAACACAATAAAATAACATATGAGGCTTATCAAGATACCGGTACCGGTCATGGCAGGGACATGAGGACATATAGAGATGAAACCCAATGTAAATTAAGTAGACTATTACAGTTGCTGCACTGCGATTTAGAGGAAGCCTCAAATGTCAAAACTCCAGCCACCTAGGCAGGTTCTCTCTGCTAGCGGTACGGAGTGCCAAGTTATAGTCAAAAGACTCTCAAAGCTTCTACCCAATGCCATAAGACTCTGAAAGCTAATCATGACGATATTTGCAATCCCCCCCACCCATCTTTTACGCTGCTGCTACTCTGTTTATTATGATGTCATAACTTACCCACAGTAATATTACTCACCCTCAATATGCCCGCACATGACTGCACGGTACCCCCCCTGTAATATAGCCCCCACTGTTATTTTTTATCTGCCTTGTTTTCTCAAACTTTTTTTGTTGTTGTTTTTTTTTCCTTTATTTATTTTTTGTTAAAAATAAATGCATGTTGGTAAGGCTGTAAGTAAGCATTCACAAGTCTGCACCGTTGTATTCGCGATGTGACCAATAATTTGATTTATTGATTGTTAACAAAATTCTGATCGCCCATTATTGGCAAAGTGCGAGATGGTAAAAGACCTATCAAAATTCAATGAGCAGATAAATACTACTTTAGATTTCATCTGACTGTATTGTCAACTGATGTTCACATACTGTTACTGTGAGTATTTGTAATTCGTGGCATTGTTTTGGTGCAAAGATAAACCAATAGGTGATGTAGCATTACACCACCCTCACCTGCTATAGGTAATGCATTGTCAGTCAAGATGCCTTTGTATGTGATCAATCAATCAATACCCAACTGGAACCTGAGCAAATACACTCTGAGCAACTAGTCAAATGAGAGCTACTGTAGAATGTGACAGCAGACACAGGAATAATACTTTGTAGATCTGTTATACTGTCAAACACTAATGTAATCTGTCACTCTATATATGTCTATATATCTATTTACAGCATATACTTTATATGTGTATATACAATATATATGTATCATGTTTGGACTGTTTGCATTCAAAAATACCTACAAACCTTTTCTCTATGATAATCTGTTATACTCTTATTCAGTCATTTTATACAGTCTTATACGCTTACTACAGTTCATTCAGTTCAAGACATCAATCAACCCCAAATACAACAGCAAGCAATGTGTTGTAAGTACCAAATGGCACCCTATTCCCTATATAGTGCACTACTTTTGACCAGGCGCCATTTGGGAGGTAACTGGTGCCAACCTCCCCGTTATGAGTGACAGTATATCCACTAGTATTTTACTACACTAGCATACACTGCTGCTGATTCACTACATGACCAAAAGTAGGTGGACACCCCTTCAAATTAGTGGTTTCAGCTATTTCAGCCACACCCGTTGCTGACAGGTGTATAAAAAAAGAGCACACAGCCATGCAATCTCCATAGACAAACATTGGCAGTAGAATGGCCTTACTGAAGAGCTCAGTGACTTTCAACGTGGCACCGTCATAGGATGCCACCTTTCCAACAAGCCAGTTCATCAAATTTCTGCCCTGCTAGAGTCGCCCCGGTCAACTGTAAGTGCTGTTATTGTGAAGTGGAAATGTTGAGCAGCCGCACACAAGTGTAAAATCACCACGCGCAATGCCAAGCGTCGGCTAGAGTGGTGTTAAGCTCGTCGCCATTGGACTTTGAAGCAGTGGAAACGCGTTCTTCACCATCTAGCGGATGCCAGGAGAACGCTACCTGCCCGAATGCATAGTGCCAACTGTAAAAAAGTATGGTCGAGTAGGAATAATGGTTTGGGGCTGTTTTTCATGCTTTGGGCTAGGCCCCTTAGTTCCAGTGAAGGGAAATCTTAACGCTACAGCATACAATAACATTCTAGACGATTCTGTGCTTCCAACTTTGTGACAACAGTTTGCGGAAGGCCCTTTCCTGTTTCAGCATGACAATGCCGCCGTGCACAAAGTGAGGTCGATAGTGAAATGGTTTGTTGAGATCGGTGTGGAAGAACTTGACTTTTGACCATGTAGTGTACAGTATACAGTACACTCTCTCATACACACAATGTGCATTATGGCTGCTACTGCATCCCCTCCACACCAGCTACACTAATAGTGAGTCAGTTACCTATAATTCACAAGTTATTTCTCTGTATAACGATGCATTAGCAGCTCATGGACACATTTCTCTCCCAGGATCCCTCTCTGACTCTTCATTACCATCTCTGATTCAGCTCTACAGCTCAGATGAAGTACCGTTGCTAATTTTCAATTTTGTCTCTGCTTTTATCTACTGCATATATATATATATATATATATATATATATATACACACTACCGGTCATTCAAAATGTAGAATAATAGTGAAGACATCAAAACTATGAAATAACACATATGGAATCATGTAGTAACCAAAAAAGTGTTAAACAAATCAAAATATATTTTATATTTGAGATTCTTCAAATAGCCACCCTTTGCCTTGATGACATCTTTGCACACTCTTGGCATTCACTCAACTGGCTTCATGAGGTAGTCACCTGGAATGCCTTTCAATTAACAGGTGTGCCTTCTTAATCCGTTAAGTCCATATTATGGAAAGAACAGCTCAAATAAGCAAAGAGAAATGACAGTCCATCATTACTTTAAAACATGATGGTCAGTCAATACGGAACATTTCAAGAACTTTGCAAGTTTCTTCAAGTGCAGTCGCAAAAACCATCAATTGCTACGATGAAACTGGCTCTCATGAGGACCGCCACAGGAATGGAAGACCCAGAGTTACCTCTGCTGCAGAGGCTAAGTTCATTAGAGTTACCAGCCTCAGAAATTGCAGCCCAAATAAATGCTTCACAGAGTTCAAGTAACAGACACATCTCAACATCAACTGTTCAGAGGGGACTGTGTGAATCAGGCCTTCATGGTCGAATTGCTGCAAAGAAACCACTACTAATGGACACCAATAAGAAGAAGAGACTTCCTTGGGCCAAGAAACACGAGCAATGGACATTAGACCGGTGGAAATGTGTCCTTTGGTCTGGAGTCCAAATTTGAGATTTTTGGTTCCAACAGCCGTGTCTTTGTGAACGGATGATCTCCGCATGTGTATTTCAAACCGTAAATCATGGAGGAGGTGTTATGGTGTGGGTTGCTTTGCTGGTGACACTGTCTGTGATTTATTTAAAATTCAAGGCACACTTAGCCAGCATGGCTACCACAGCATTCTGCAGTGATACGCCATTCCATCTGGTCTGGTCTTAGTGGGACTATCATTTGTTTTTCAACAGGACAATGACCCAACACACCTCCAGGCTGTGTAAGGGCTATTTGACCAAGAAGGAGAGTGATGGAGTGCTGCATCAAATGACCTGGCCTCCACAATCCCCCGACCTCAACCAAATTGAGATGGTTTGGGATGAGTCGGACCGCAGAGTGAAGGAAAAGCAGCCAACAAGTGCTCAGCATATGTGAAAACTCCTTCAAGACTGTTGGAAAAGCATTCCAGGTGAAGCTGGTTGAGAGAATGCCAAGAGTGTGCAAAGCTGTCATCAAGGCAAAGGATCGCTATTTGAAGAATCTGAAATATAAAATATATTTTGATTTGTTTAACACTTTTTTGGTTACTACATGATTCCATATGTGTTATTTCATAGTTTTGATGTCTTCACTATTATTCTACAATGTAGAAAATAGTAAAAATAAAGAAAAACACTTGAATGAGTAGGTGTTTTAAAACCTTTGACCGGTAGTGTAGGTGTATGGATATGGAAGTGTATGAAAAGTGATTCTTAATGTAATCATAAGATTCACCATATAGCCAATGAATACATTAAATTAATCAATACTGTATATCATGAACACCAAGTATAGAAAACGAACTGCCATTATAAATAACAAATGGATGCAAGTCAATTAATACAATCCATTTAAAAATGTGATCCTCTTACATACAGATGACCTAGTGTTATAAATAGCTCTAAACCTCTACCTCTTAAAGGTGTTTCAGTGCTATATACAATATATACTATATACAATATATAGGGTGTTCATAAAACATTACAGAAATGATACAAAACAAGTATTTTAGAGATGGAATAAAGGTATAGTTCAACTAAGATTAGATAGAATTGATATCAATTTTCAAAGCACCAGCTTGGTATAACCACTTCCAGGGGAGAGCTCCTACGAATGGCAGACCTATTGGAGAGGAGCGAGCAGGGACAGTCAAAAGCAGCTACATGGAATTACATCATTAATGTCATCACAGCATTGATATTTTAGTTATAAGCTGTGATTTCCAAGATTTCAGTTCAATGCTATTAGTTTTATTGGTGGGTTCTTCTTATGTTCTATTAGGTTATATTGGTGAGTTATTATTAGGTTCTATTAGGTTCTATTGGTGGGTTCTTCTCAGGTTCTACTGTTGGGTTCTTCTTAGGTTCTATTAGGTTCTATTGGTGAGAGTTCTTCTTAATGCAGAATGTCATGAATTTTGGCAATATAACTCTACATGGCAAGCCTGGTTGGGATCTACAGCCAAAGTGGGAAGGGAGAACTGGCTTAGAAGAGACTAAGATAGATTGTCTTTATTAACACTCAGACCTCTCCCTCCTTCCGTTCTCTCCTTCTCCTTCCGTTCCACCTCTTTAAAGTGCAAAGTCCTGCTAAAGCCCCTGCAGGAAAACAGGAACAAGCATTTCAGTCCGTTTTCTTCTGTCTGGTGGCTAATGAATACGACCCTGCTAAAGGCTCTGCAGGAGGGCTGCGTTTAACTCTGTGACGAGGAAGTCAATGTGGTCCCTCTCTTTGGACTTGAAGGCCTCAGCGATGATGCAAGCAGCGTCCTGGTGCTCCCGGCCCCTCAGGGAGACACCATTCACTTCCAGAATCACCTGACCCACCTTCAGCTGCCTACAACCGTGTGCCGAGCCCCCCTTCTATGAGAGAGAGAGATGTAGGGGAGCGAGAGAGGGAGAGGGGGGAGAGTGACAGAGAGACAGAGGGGGGAGTGAGAAAGGGGCGAGAGAGAAAGAGATAATGAAGCATCAATTAAATAATCACTTTTGTAGACAGGATGTGTCCTTGTGGCAGAAATAAAGAGCTAAAGAGAGAGAAGATACAAAGCGAAGAGGAGAACGTTGTTGTGGTTTCAAGGAAAGGTGAGAGACAAAATACAAATGATTTATTGTCAGAAGAGGTTGAGAGGAGGAATGATATAGCGCTTTGTTCCAGGTGGCCTTCTATCAGTCAGGCCAAATCAGGACAAAGACATCAGGGTAGAGACATCAGGCTAATCAAATCAAATCACATTTGATTTGTCACATGCTTTGTAAACATTAGTTGTAGACTAAGAGTGAAATGATTACTTACAGGTCCTTTCCAACAATGCAGAGTTAAAGATTACAAATTATAATACCAAATATAAATAGTAACACAAGGATTAAATACACAGTGAATAACAAATAACAGTGAATCACTGTGAATCACTCCTATCATCAACCAGGCATTGCGCATCAGAAGGAGCAACATCACATTTACATTTACGTTTACGTCATTTAGCAGACGCTCTTATCCAGAGCGACTTACAGTTAGTGCATACATTATTCTTTTTTATTTTCATACTGGCCCCCCGTGGGAATCGAACCCACAACCCTGGCGTTGCAAACACCATGCTCTACCAACTGAGCTACCTCCCTGCCGGCCATTCCCTCCCCTACCCTGGACGACGCTGGGCCAATTGTGCGCCGCCCCATTGGTCTCCCGGTTGCGGCCGGCTACAGCAGAGCCTGGATTCGAACCAGGATCTCTAGTGGCACAGCTAGCATTGCGATGCAGTGCCTTAGACCACTGCGCCACTCGGGAGGTGGCGCAACATCTGATAAGCCATGGATGACTCCTCAAATAAAGGAGGTCATTGTCGATAGGCTGAGAGCTTTCCAATCAGAGGACGACAGTGAGTACAAGAGACTGGGCTCCAAAGTGGCATACCTGGGGTGGCAGGTAGCCTAGTGGTTAAGAGCATTGGGCCAGTAACCGAAAGGTCTACCATTCTGCCCTTGAGCAAGGCAGTTAACTCCCACAACAACTGCTCCCCGGGCGCCGATGACGTGAACGTCGATTAGATTCAGAGGGGTTAAATGTGAAAGACGCGTTTCGGTTGAATGCATTCAGTTGTGTAACTGACTAGGTATCCCCTTTCCCTATCTCATCCAACATGCTAAGGAGATATCCGGTACTAGGAGGATGAAGTCTCATCTCAGGACCAAGGACAGCGGAAACTGGTCCATTAAAAAGCTGATGGGAGCTCCAGAAGACCAGAGTGAGAGATATGACACAAAGACACAAGAGTGTGAAACCCTGAGTCTTCACTTCTCTTCTGTGTGGAAGGACACCACATGTAACATCCCAAGCTCGGAGGTTGAAGACAGCATATTAGCAAACATCACTACTGATACCTACAGTATTGTATTGTAAGTCGCTCTGGATAAGAGCGTCTGCTAAATGACGTAAATGTAAATGTAAATGTATTGGCCAGGTCAAGATGCTTCCTTTCAAGGTGAACGGGAGGAAAGCAGCTGGCAAAGATGTAGTGGGGTAATATTTGATATATGCATATTATATATCCCTCACATGGGACTCATAATAAGACTAAGCAATTAGCCTATTAAAATGTTTATCTGACTCCATAAAGATAATTAAAATATACAAGCAAGCATTAGGCAATGAGTTGACGTTGACTAACAAGAATTGGTCTGAGAATTGTCTATATCAAAAGGTAGATATTTAAGTGATAACGCCCGAGAAGCTGGTGTTTGGAGGATATATTGGCACAGGTGTAGTTAGACCCGAGACAAAGTTGAGGGTCGGCAAACCGTGCCAATATTCTTCCAAACACCGGCTTCGAGGGCATTATAACTTTTATACAACAGGTTACCAACATATTCAAATAATGATTGACATATTTTCATTAAAAAAACTTATTTTGAGGAATTTATTCATACTATTTAATCCTTCCACAATATATAGTCCCGACACAAATATAGGGTTGCTACCCAAGCCAACTGGTTGTTCGTTCTATCGGTTCTGTTGCCAGAGAAGGTACCCAGTCGTTCAGTCTTTTTGTTCTGTGTCTATGGACGTGACCCAGTCATTCGTTCGAAATGTTCCATTGTCATACTGGCTGGTAATGTTCTTATCCCTTGCTTGCTAGCTAGCCAACTACGGCTAAATTACAGTCACGTCAAACAGTGCAGCCAGAATAACAACAAAGTAGCTGCATTTGCATTTGTTTAAGCTGTTTTCTAGTGATATTTATTTGGATACATCCATAACAATGAGCTAATGATGCCCGATTTCACCTTATAGAAAATGTGCTCTCTCGTCAGGACACTGTTGTTCAAGAGCTAGCCAACAACACAACTAACACAATCACTTCAAACTGAAGCTGGAAAGACTGCAAACTAGCTGCACTTCGTTTCGCTTTACCTGTTTTGTATTGATAGTTCTTTATATATATCCATAAAAATTGATGCCGATTCATGATTTCGACTGGCTGAGAAAAGCTGCCTACCTCTCTATCTCATCCCGACTCCTGACACGTTCATCACTATGGGACAGCTGGAGATTGAATTTGAATATTGAAACAATGTTGCAAATGTCGGAAGACATCGGTGGTAACTTTAACCAATCAGCAGTCAGGATTAGACCCACCCGTTGTATAATTAATGAACATTGTATAATTAATGGTATTCACATACAAGGCATAAAGCTTAAGTTACAAGCATTAAGAACCATTACAAGGCATTATTACAAGCATATACAGTACATTCTAAGGTTCATTTACAAGAAAAAGCATGAACAAATAGATGCCTAGTAGCCTAGGAAATGAGAATTGATCATACAACCTTCCTCCATGGACTGGAAACAGGATAAGAGAGAGAACAAAGGCATAAATGGGGATTTTCACCAAACCACAAAGATGGCATCCCTGCCTGGATTCTCAAGACATACAGTGAGGAGCTTGCCCCTGTTTTGACCCATTTGTTCAATGCTTGCCTAAAAGATGGACATTTCCCCCACTGTGGAAAGACTCACTAGTCTGTGCAGTACCCAAGAAAGGCAAACCACAGTTCCCTCACGACTATCGTCAGATTATCGTCAGATCAGTTCCCTCAGGACTATCGTCAGATCAGTTCCCTCAGGACTATCGTCAGATCAGTTCCCTCAGGACTATCGTCAGGACCTTCTGAGCTGTAATGGAAAGGTCTATGAAGGAATTCTGAAGGACCTACTACTACAGGAAACAGAGTCTGCAATTCACGGTTTGGCTACTCAGCCATGAAAACCCATTTCATGAAGCTCCAGACGAACAGTTATTGTGCTGACGTTGCTTCCAGAGGCAGTTTGGAACTCGGTAATGAGTGTTGCCACCGAGGACAGATGACTTTTATGCGCTACGGGCTTCAGCACTCGGCGGTCCCGTTCTGTGATCTTGTGTGGCCTACCACTTCGCGGCTGAGCCGTTGATGCTTGTAGACATTTCCAATTCACAATAACAGCACTTACTGTTTGACTGGGGCAGCTCTAGCAGGGCAGAAATTTGAATGACTGACTTGTTGGAAAGGTGGCATCCTATGACGGTGCCATGTTGAAAGTCACTGAGCTCTTCAGTAAGGCCATTCTACTGCCAATGTTTCTCTATGGAGATTGCATGGCTGTTTGCTTGATTTTATACACCTGTCAGCAATGGGTGTTGCTGAAATAGCAGATTCCACTAATTTATAGGAGTGTTCACATACTTTTGTATATATACAGTGCCTTGCAAAAGTATTCATCCCCCTTGGCGTTTTTCCTATTTTGTTGCATTACAACCTGTAATTTAAATAAAATTTTATTTGGATTTCATGTAATGGACATACACAAAATAGTCCAAATTGGTGAAGTGAAATGACAAATATTACTTGTTTCAAAAAATTCTTAAACATAAATAACGGAAAAGTGGTGTGTGCATATGTATTCACCCCCTTTGCTATGAAGCCCCTAAATAAGATCTGGTGCAACCAATTCACTTCAGAAGTAATGTAATTAGTTAAATAAAGTCCACCTGTGGGCAATCTAAGTGTCACATGATCTGTCACATGATCTCAGTATATATACACCTGTTCTGAAAGGCCTCAGAGTCTGCAACACCACTAAGCAAGGGGCACCACCAAGCAAGCAGCACCATCGGCAGGGACTGGGAAACTGGTCAGAATTGAAGGAATGATGGATGGCGCTAAATACAGGGAAATTTTTGAGGTAAACCTGTTTCAGTCTTCCAGAGATTTTAGACTGGGACGGAGGTTCACCTTCCAGCAGGACAATGACCCTAAGCATACTGCTAAAGCAACACTCGAGTGGTTTAAGAGGAAACATTTAAATGTCTTGGAATGGCCTAGTCAAAGCCCAGACCCAGACCTCAATCCAATTGAGAATCTGTGGTATGACTTAAAGATTGCTGTACACCAGCGGAACCCATCCAAGACACCCCCCCCCCATATCACAGTTATTGCAAGTAGACCCATCTTCAAAATAGTTATCCGCTATCAGCAGAATCAGTGCCAGGAAGAAAAATATGAGTGTGGGATGTAACAACACTAATCATATCACCCTAACAACAATTATAGTGGACAGCAGAAGTAGTCCACACTTAAGTTGAAGCACCCCGCAATCTACCTTCATTACGACAGTGGGGGAAGGAATTCCAACTAACTAACTATGTTTACTCTTTGGAAAGCAATGGCACTCTAGCGTTATGCAATAGCTGCTGCAGAGCCTTGAAATTGGCTGTGCCTGCCATGGCAACCCATTGCGTGACAACCTATTGTTTATCATCTTCTTATTGCACCAAATCCCCAGATGTGTTAAGGCTCCATATCATTAAGTCAGTAAAACAATAAAATCCCATTATTGTTGACTGTCATATCCTGAAATAACCTCTTCAACCATGTCACTTATAATTCTCTATATGGCCATTCAGAGCCTACCTAATGTCTGCGTGTCAAATAGCACCATATTCCCTATGTAGTGCACTACTTTTGACCAGGGCCCATACACTCTTAGAAAAAAGGGTTTCAATAGGGTTATTTGGCTGTCCCCATAGGAGAACCATTTTTGGTTCCAAGTAGAACCCTTTTTGGTTCCAGGTAGAACCCTGTGTGGAAAGGTTTCTACATGGAACTCAAAAGGGTTCTACCTGGCACCAAAATGGGTTCTTCAAAGGGTTCCCCTCTGGGGACAGCCGAAGAATCGTTTTAGGCTCTAGATAGCACCGTTTTTTCTAAGAGTGTAGGGACTATATAAGCAGGAAATAGGTTGCCATTTGGAAAACAGCTATTGACTGTTACTGAATCAGAGACAGTACCATTAAATGGTGGGGGGAAATTATTGGACTAATGAGGCGACGTGATATCCCTGCTGTGTTGATAATGGGCGGGCAGCGACTGTTGTGTTAGATGAACCTATAAATGTGTGGGATTCTGCCCAACAGGACTCTATTGGACTACTGAGATGTATGGGGGCTGTTCATGAGGAGCCATTGATATAGAAATCTCTGTACCGTCACACAAACACCTCAAGGCTGTTCTTGAGAATAATATGTAAATACACATGTAAGTCCTCTCACAATGACTATGTCGGTCCACTCACACCTGAAAACGAAAAATGAAAAAACGTGTTCCTTATTGGACAAGTTCAGGTAGACCCTCCCTGTTTGGGTTTGCTTCCGTTTCGTTCCTAGTGAATATGGGCCCTGGTGACCTGAATAGATCATCCAATCCAAGACTCCTGAGACTAACCAGGTGGTAGAAAACTTTCTTCAACAAAGTTACAAATCCCCAGGAGAGAATCCATGACCTGCTTTGAGATTCTTATCAATGCAAATATACGCTGTTATTACGCACATAAACAGATGCTCGGGGGAAAGTCACATTTAGGATGAAAGTGAAAATGGTAATGCTGTCATTTTTTATGCTTGCTGTTATGCATATTGCACTCATGAACAGTACAATACGTATAAGTATGCATATGCGCACACCTTCAGGCGCAACATGGGGGGGGGGGTCTACATCCACATAGGATGAAGTAGTTCTTACTATTTACAGACATCACAGTACGAAAGCCCTGTGTAGTCTTCATCATGCTGCATTCATGTTCAGAGTTATCCTACATGTAGGAGTATGATAAAGTGATGCAGAATCATCTCCTTTTACCCAGAGCCCCATGAGCCCTGGTCAAAAGTGGTGCACTATTTTGGGACTAGAGTACCATTTGGGATGCAGAGTCTCCCTCTCTCACCTGTATGGTGACGATGCGTGGCAGCAGCTGGCGTGTGTTTGCCCCTCCCTCTATAGCGATACCCAAAGTATTGGCATTCTTTACCACATGTACCAGGGTAGGGGTGGCCACTGGAGAGACAGGATGCTGCAGGGAACACAAGAATACATCATAGAATGAGGACATAGAAAGAGGACAAAAAGACATAAAAACAAGACATACACTACGGTCAAGGGATGGACAGGCACTGAGGGTACTGAAATAAAACGTGTGGCAAACCATGACTTTGTGAAAACGCAAAACAGAGTGTTGTGAAACTCAGAGATTTATGAATGTCATGTTGTGCGTCCCAAATGGCACCCTATTCCCTAGATAGGGCACTACTTCTGAGCCCTGGTCAAACGTAGTACACTACATATGGAAAAGGGTTCCATTTGAGACCCCAACATGTTATTTCTGTTGTGATATGGGCCCTTGGTGGCCCTCACCTGTTTGGATGCCTGTGCTGCAGGTCCCTGGGCCCCTTGGGACTCCTGTGTGGCCTGGTTCTTACTGGGCCGAGGACTGCTGTCTTTACTCAGCCCTCCTGCCTCAGCAATATCCACCCCACTGTCCTCACTCAGAGTCTGACCACTGTCTGACAGCTGGGACAATGTGGCGCCTGGATACACAGAATAAATAGATTTGATTATATATACACTGAGTGTACAAAACATTAGGAACACCTTCCTAATATTGAATTGCACCCCCTTTTGCCCTCAGAACTGCCTCAATTTGTCGGGGCATGGACTCTACAAGGTGTCGAAAGCGTTCCACAGGGATGCTGGCCCATGTTGACTCCAATGCTTCCCACAGTTGTGTCAAGTTGGCTGGATGTCCTTTGGGTGGTGGACCATTCTTGATACAGATGGGAAACTGTTGAGCGTGAAAAACCCAGCTGCGTTGCAGTTCTTGACACACTCAAACTGGTGCGCCTGGCACCTACTACCATACCCTGTTCAAAGGCACTTCAATCTTTTGTCTTGACCTTTCACCCTCTAAATTGCACACATACACAATCCATGTCTCAATTGTCAAGGCTTAAAAATCATTCTTTAACCTGTCTCCTCCCCTTCATCTACACTGATTTGATGTGGATTTAACAAGTGGCATCAATAAGGGATCATATCTTTGACCTGGATTCACCTGGTCAGTCTATGTCATGGAAAGAGCACGTGTTCCTAATGTTTCGTACAAGCATGTAAAGCGATACACACACAGAAACACAGGCAGGTTTGCACAAAAGCACATAGACACACATTGACCTTTACCTCTCTGCTGGGGCTGGGGCCTGACCTCAGCAGTCAGTCTGTGTACATCTGCCATGACACATTGACCTCCCTGGCTGAGGGAGGGAGAACAGGGAGAGCAGGGTCTGTCTGGGCTACAGGGGGGTGGCCTCAGCACAGCGAGAGTGGGACAGGGGGAGGGACAGGGGGACAGACATGGGGAGAGACCAGGGGAGGGACACGGTGAGAGACAAGGGGAGGCAGTCTTAGGGGAGGTAGCACGCTTCTCATTGGAACAGGATCTGAAGATGGGGTGCTTGATGGTCGTCTCCTTGTTTGGAGGAGCAGAGGGGAACCACAAGGGGTTGTGATGAAGGGAGCCGGGGCAGGTATGGTGGCCAGAGCTGGGGCAGCCTTGGTGGGGGTGGTGGTGGTGGGGGTTGTGGTCAGAGGTTGGGGTGGAGATGTGGAGGGAGTTTTGGCAGGTGTGGTGAAGAGAGTTTATGGATGTCTGATGACCAGAGCTAGGATAGGCACTGTGGTTGGTGCCAGGGTTGGGGCTGTTTTGGTGGCCAGGGTTGGGACAGGTGTGATGGAAGTCAGAACTAGGGGAGGTGGAGGTTTGGTGGTTGGAGGAGCTGAAGGCTTTGAGGGATTTGTGGTGACATTCCTGGTGTAGCCTGGTGGGGGCAGTAAAGATCAGGCCAGACTGGGAGTGTCTGGATGAGGGGCGCTTGGAAGGGTCCCTCTCCCTGGGGTATCTGGTCTGGGTATGGCCGGGGGGAAGAGAAGGCTTGAAGGACGGAGGAGATTCAGCTGTAGACTGCACTTCTTTCTAGAAACACAAAAGGACATTGTTTGTACAGAAAAGTTGTACAAACAAACATTACAAACTCAGTCGAAGGTCACCGAAAATGTTTTTTTAATGGAGAGAGTCACCTTCAAATCCACATTCATGCCTCACCTTCAAATGCATTGTACACAAAGATTAGCATTTAAGTCTAATTTGCCACTCATGCTCATAAAACCTGACTATTATTTCCATCAGACCAGAACAACCTCAAACTTATACAGACTCACCAATGTAATGTCAGGTAGAACATTAGTGCATGCCCCTGGATCTTGCTCTACACTGTCACCATGTGAGCACTCATGCTGAAAGAGACACAATATTTTGTGTGTTACAATATGACTTCACCTGTTTACTTTAACTTATCATTCAAAATAAACAGGCCCAGCCATAGACTCACTGACCTGCATCCCAGTGCAATGTTGTATGACAATAATGTGCTGAAACATTAACCCTGAACCGTGACTAAAGACTTCAATTATCAATTAACACAGGAAGTTAATTTAGTGCATACAATATAAATTAGCTGCAATTACTTGTTTACTAAGGGTGTGATTTTACAGCTATAGTAATAGGATGTCAACGAGGCCAATTATACAAGCAGAGAGTGGACCATGGTAATCACCAAAACCAGACAACCAACAGAAAGCAACACTGTTACCTTGGACCATGGGGAAACTGACACACACACGCGCACGCACAGTCGCACGCACACACACACACACACACACACACACACACACACACATAATCTCCACTGGACCCTATTCTGTATACTGCATTACTTTTGACCAGAGCCAGAGTCTGGCCAAACGTATAGCACTAAATAGGGAATAGGGTGCCATTGAGGATACAAACACTTTTAACAGTTTCTATTACAGGGTGGCTGGGCCTCAATTGGATGGTTATAGAGTGTTTTGTAGAGTGACTGTGCCCTGGCAGAATGAGGTCCCATTCAACTGATCTGGGCCACAGTGATTCAGTGAAACATCAACGCTACACTGGTACTGCAGCTCAGTAATCTCATCTGAAATCGCTGCTCTATTTAATTTGACACTGGCGACAGATCCAATTGATGACAGAAAATATTTTTTAAGGATGCCTGGAGGAAATCAAACACACACGCACCATAGACTCGAATAGGCACACATGCACATAGCGGGCCCATGGGGCTCTGGTCAAAAGTAGTCCACTGTATAAGGGATAGGGTGTCATTTAGGGTCAAACCTTTCTCGTGGTGGGGTTGGAGTGGGTGTGGCTGGCTGAGGGCTCTGTGTGTACACAGCGGCTGTGTGGGTGCAACGTTCCTTTTTCTCCATGCCAGGCCTTCAGAGCCTCCCTCTCACGGTGCAGCACCAGCCCATCATACAGCTCCAGGTCCTGGGGAGCCACCAGGCTACGTACCTCAGACAGCAGGGATAACTGTAGCGGAGAAACAGTCAACAAGGCCCAATAGAGTTACATAAATGCCCTATTATAGTTACATAGAGGCCCTATAGGTTATATAGAGTCCCTATAGGTTATATAGAGGCCCTATAGGTTATATAGAAGCCCTATAGGTTACATAGAGTCCCTATAGGTTATATAGAGGCCCTATAGGTTATATAGAGTCCCTATAGGTTATATAGAGGCCCTATAGGTTATATAGAAGCCCTATAGGTTACATAGAGTCCATATAGGTTATATAGAGGCCCTATAGGTTATATAGAAGCCCTATAGGTTATATAGAAGCCCTATAGGTTACATAGAGTCCCTATAGGTTATATAGAGGCCCTATAGGTTATATAGAGGCCCTATAGGTTATATAGAAGCCCTATAGGTTATATAGAGGCCCTATAGGTTATATAGAAGCCCTATAGGTTACATAGAGTCCCTATAGGTTATATAGAGGCCCTATAGGTTATATAGAGGCCCTATAGGTTATATAGAAGCCCTATAGGTTATATAGAGGCCCTATAGGTTATATAGAAGCCCTATAGGTTACATAGAGTCCCTATAGGTTTCATAGAGGCCCTATAGGTTATGTAGAAGCCCTATAGGTTACATAGAGTCCCTATAGGTTATGTAGAGTGCCTATTTGACATAGAGCAGGTGCTGGATGTAAAAAAGTGTTCAATAACAGGTGAAAAGTGGACACCACACACTGCATTATGCTCCCAATGGGAATTTATTAGACAATGTTTTACTTTCGAGCACTGGGTTTTCATCATCTCCTTTGACAAATGAAACTGGATAGAGGACAGGAGGAAGAATGGTGGACAGCTAAGACAAGGAACCACCAAAATAACATGTATGCGCATTTTGTGACTGGGTGTCCAAACCGTTGTAGAGACACCATCTTCAAGAGAGAAAAGTATCAACCATAAGATGAGGCAGACACCCAGGCTGTATCCCAAATGGCACCATATTCCCTATAGTGTACTACTTTTGACTAGAGCCCTATAGGGAATAGGTGCTATTTGGGATGCTACCACAGATGTGCTGTCTCAGCAGGCGTTACAGTACCTTGGCGTGGGTGTTGAAAAGTTCAAACAGGGCCATAGCCAGGGGCTCCAGGCTGATGTGTCCCTCCTGGTACTCCTGCAGGTAGTAGCCCATGGTCTGCCTCTCTGGGTCTGTCAGCAGCAGGAAGGCCTGCTCCTCCAGAGACACCTTGGAACCTGGGTGCCCCACACCTCGACACACTGACTGTATCGAAGGAGGGAGAAGAGAGAGAGCAAGAGAGAGAGAGAGAGAACAAGAGGGAGAGAGAGAGAAAAAGAGAGAGCGAGAAGAAGAGAGAGAGATAAATAATGAATGTACACTTTTAGAATTAAGGGTATGGTTAGGATACAGTATTGTTCCCTGAGGTACAAAAATATCTAAATACACAGAATGTTCCTTCAGAGGTTTAATCTCACATGAGACTGTTAGGTACTGTACCTTTTAGGATACATGTGCTGATAATCTAGTATAAATGGTACAATATTTTGAATATAAAGGTACAATCATCACACAATCTCACAAACCACGGCCATCATTAACATTTTTCCCAGCATGCTCTATTTCAGGTTGATTTTTAGGATTGTTTGTTTCAGTAAGTGTGTTTTTGCATGCACAATGATTGATTGATCTTATGCTACACAAAACTAAATACTTTACATTTTTATATACTAATCCTAGTCTGGTAATAGTTGGACTAACCAGGAGTTATGCCCTTATGATATATGTAATGTCATAAAGAATTAAAAAATATATTTTCTTAGGCACTCACTTGGTGAAGGTTACAGCACTGAAAGCCATTGAATGCAACAACCATGTCTGTGTCACTAGCAAACACAGTTGGTACTCAAAAAATTAGCTTGAAATGCACCTGGGGAAATTTGCTAATGAGGCTTTACACCCTACAGTGTTAAATCAGTGCCCCAAAACCTTTTTAGAGGTACATTTTTGCCATTTAAAAGGATCAAAACAGCTTTATCACTGTGGTGGTACCATAAAAAAGGCAAATTTGTACCTTTTTCAAAAGTACGCTTTTGTACCTGTACTGTATTGTCCCCTAAGGTACACTATTGGCTCTTTTAAGGTATGAACCGTAAGGGTACAATTAAGTAACTATAACTAAAGGTACAAAGGACATACCTTAGAGGGTACCGCTATAGTGACAAGCGTTTGTACCCTTTTAAGAAAAATCTCAACCTTTATTTCTGACATGCTGACCAGACCGGATGCGTTGCGTGCGCGAGCGTTGTAAAATAAATGTACACATACATGTTATTCAATCATTGCACCCACACTGCTCGGGCAGTGGCCAGCCTCTGTGTGGCCAGGCGATAAAATAGAACTTGGTGACCCCTCCTTGTTCGGGCAGGTTTCGGCGTTCGTCGTCACCGGCTTACTAGCTACTGCCGATCCCATTCTCATCACTCCACTTGTCATGTCTTGTCTTGTCAATCACACACACCTGGTGTTCATTCCCCTAGTTAGTATGTGTATAAGTGTTCCCTCTGTTCCCCTTGTCTTTGTGAGTGATTGTTTCATTGTGAGAGCGAGTAGCTCGGTTGAGCTACTCTTCCTGTTGTTATTGCCAAGGTGGAATATTTCCCTTGTTATAGTTTCGTTTTGACGCTGGGTGCATTTTATTTATGTAAATGGTATAAACTCTGGACTTTGGTGTTTTACCTCCTGCGCCTGACTCCTTCATTCACACCTCGTCACAGAATCACTCACCTGCATAATGGAGTCAGCAGGAGAAGACCGCATGCCTGGAGTTGTGGCAAGGGTCCAGGAGCATTCATCGATGCTGGCCAGCTTGGGGGAAGCGATGTATCGGGTTCTTCAGGTAATAGAACGCCTGGAGAGGAGAGGACCCGATCTATCGAGACCAGCTGGTCAACCGGATCCAGCCACCTACACCTCAGCCCCTGGAGGGATCCAGATATCCCGGCCACCGGCGTTTGATGGGACGGCAGCGCGATGTAAGGGATTTCTGCTCCAACTAGAGCTGTATTTCTCCAGCATCAGGCCTGCGCCACTGTAGTGGGAGAAGGTATCCGTCCTCGTTTCCTGCCTTTGTGAGAGAGCCCTAGAGTGGGCCAATGCAGTGTGGAACGAGGGAGGTGCCGCGTTGGAGGACTACGGGGAGTTTGCTCGCCTCTTTCGGGCCATTTTCGATCACCCGTCTGAGGGTCGAGAGGCGGGCGAACTACTGGTCCATCTGAGGCAGGGGACGAGGAGCGCACAGGACTACACGCTGGATTTCCGGACGCTGGCAGCGGAGTCCGGGTGGAACGAGCGGGCCCTGATCGACCATTTCCGGTGCCACCTAAGGGAGGACGTCCGACGGGAGCTAGCCTGCCGTGATGCCATGGTATCGTTCTCCCAACTGGTGGACATGGCCATCCGGCTGGACAATCTGCTAGCAGCCAGAGGACGTCCTGGTAGGGGTCTGCCCGTTCCCACTCCAGATGACTCTGACCCCGAGCAGATGGAGCTGGGGGGAGCCGCCGGTCGAAAGAGCGCAGGAGGACAGCGACAGTGCCACTCTGGTGGCACGAAGGGACAATCCACCTCACGTCGTAGTCAACGTTCCTTTGGGTCTGGAGGCGGTAGGCAGGGTACTCACGCATCACCCCAGGTAACGAACACCCAAATTTGTTCAGAGCCCTTTGCGACGCACTGTACCTTATCTATCTCCTTTCCCGATCACCTGGTAGTTTCCCAGTATAAGGAGCTAGTCGATTCAGGCGCAGCTGGGAACTTTATGGACAGGGCATTCTCACGCCGTCTAAGTATTCCATTGGTTCCCCTATCCATTCCACTCCCCATCAAAGCACTTGATAGTCGACCATTAGGGTCCGGGTTTGTTCAGGAAGTTACTGCACCAGTCACCATGATTACCCAGGAGACTCATTGTGAGCAGATCACTTTTTTTATTATTGAGTCCCCTGCTTTCCCTGTGGTATTAGGTATCCCTTGGTTAGCACTCCACAACCCCACCTTCTCATGGCCGCAGAGGGTTCTCACGGGGTGGTCGCGAGAGTGTCAGTGTAGGTGTCTAGATGTTTCCATTGGTGCAACCACGGTGGAAAGTCCAGACAGCATTCTCCCTGAATACCTCGATTTGGCGCACACGTTTTCAAAGACGCAGGCTACCAAGTTACCACCTCATTGGGAGGGGGATTGCGCGATAAACCTCAGGGTAGATGCTGTACCTCCCAGGAGTCATGTGAACCCCCTGTCACAGGCTGAAATGGAGGCTATGGAAACACACGTCACAGAGTCCCTGCACCAGGGGTGTATACGTCCCTCCACTTCACCCGCCTCCTCGAGTTTCTTCTTTGTGAAGAAGGAAGACGGCGGTCTGCGCCCTTGCGTTGATTATCGACAACTGAACAAGGAGACGATCAGGTTTAGTTATCCTCTCCCCCTCATTCCGTCAGTGATCGAGTCAATGCAAGGGGGTGCTTCTTCACCAAATTAGATCTCAGGAGTGCGTACAACATGGTGCGTGTCCGGGAGGGGGATAAGTGGAAGACAGCATTCAGCACAACCACGGGGCATTATGAATACCTGGTGATGCCCTACGGTTTGATGAATGCTCCATCCGTTTTCCAGTCCTTTGTGAACGAGGTGTTTCGGGACATGCTTGGTCGCGGTGTGGTGGTCTACATCGATGACATCCTGGTGTATTCCGCTACGCGCGCCGAGCATGTGTCCCTGGTTTGGTTCGCAAGGTACTGGTCCGACTGCTGGAGAATGATCTTTATGCCAAGGCAGAGAAGTGTGAGTTTTTCCAGCAGTCAATATATATCGCATTACTACCACAGGTGTGGAGACGGAGGGAGATCGCATTTCAGCCGTGCGTAATTGGCCGACTCCAACCACGGTGAAGGAGGTGCAACGCTCATTGGCTTTGCCAACTACTATCGGAGGTTTATTCAGGGATTTGGCAAGGTTGCAGTTCCAATTACCTCCTTGTTGAAGGGTGGGCCGTCCCGGCTCCGCTGGTCTGCTGAGGCTGATTTGGGCTTCAGTAGATTGCGGGGTCTGTTCACCTCAGCCCCGGGGTACTGGCTCACCCCGATTAATCACTACCGTTCGTAGTGGAGGTGGATGTGTCCGAGGTAGGGATAGGCGCTGTCTTATCCCAACACTCGGGCACGCCACCCAAGCTCCACCCCTGTGCCTTCTTTTCGAAGAAGCTCAGCTTGGCGGAGCAGAACTATGGCGTTGGTGATCGGGAGCTGCTGGCTGTTGTCCGAGCTTTGACGGTGTGGAGGCATTGGCTCGAAGGGGTGAAACACCCTTTCCTCGTCTGGACAGAGCACCATAACCTGGAGTACATTTGGGCAGCGAGGAGGATGAATCCTCGGCAGGCCAGGTGGGCCCTCTTCTTCACCTGGTTTGATTTCACACTCTCATACATCCCGGGTACGAAGAACGTGAAGGCAGATGCACTGTCTCGGCTGTATGACACAGAGGAGAGGCCCAGAGACAACACCCCCATACTCCCGGCCTCATGCTGGACGCGGATATAGCGCAGGCATTACGCACAGATCCATCTCCACCGCAGTGTCCAGCTGGGCTGCAGTACATCCCTGCACTTATCCATGATCGTCTGATCTACTGGGCACACACGTCACCCTCCTCTGGTCATCCAGGTATCGGTTGTACAATGCGCTGCCTGACCGAGAAGTACTGGTGGCCTACCTTGGCTAAGGACGTGAGGGTGCATGTTTCCTCCTGCTCAGTGTGCGCCCAGAGTAAGGCAACTAGGCACCTCCCAGCGGGTAAGCTACAACCTTTACCAAGGTAACACCACTATCCTGGTCGTTGTAGATCGCTTTTCGAAGTCCTGCCGCCTCCTTCCCCTGCCCGGTCTCCCCACGGCCCTACAGACTAAGGAGGCTCTGTTTACTCACGTCTTCCGGCACTACGGGGTACCAGAGGATATAGTGTCCGACCGAGGTCCCCAGTTCACGTCTAGAGTCTGGAAGGCGTTCATGGAACGTCTGGGGGTCTCGGTCAGCCTGACCTCCGGATTTCACCCCGAGAGCAATGGGCAGGTGGAAAGGGTGAATCAAGATGTGGGTAGGTTCCTGCTGACCTACTGTCAGTACCGGCCGGGGGAGTGGTCGGTGTTCCTGCCATGGGCAGAATACGCTCAGAACTCTCTCCGCCACTCCTCCACTAACCTAACACCCTTC